ATTCGCATCATTCTGTCTGGCCCCTGACAGAGTGCCGTCAGCCCCAACCTACCCTTTGAGCCTCAAATGCATATAGCCCATTTTCTGTTTGACACCTTCGCTCAGATGTCCACAGGCAACCTCAAAACATGCTCAAAACCAGACACAGAGGTTCATTTTCTAAAAAGATAAATAAGATTCGAGAATGCAACAAAGAAATCGAAACAACACACACAAACGAAAAGTGTAACTCTTCAAACGTTTCCACTAAAAAAAAGTATTCACACTACCTACCCGCCCGGAAACCGCGCAATCGTTCTGGTCCCCTTGGGATGGTGGCAGAGCCAAAAACATCAGGAACAAATAAGACTTGGGGCACAGTAAGTGCTCTAGAAGAGGACAGACTGGAGACTGGGGAGAAGGTGGGGGAGGACTTCCGTGGCTACAGACGTCGTAGGAGACGTGTCTAAGGAGCAGACATTTGAACAGGGCCCCAAATCCTGAAAGAGCCAGTCCGGAGAAGACACAGGGCAGGGGGCGGGGGGTGGGTGCAGGGAGCACATACTGCAGGCAGAGGGAAGGGTAGATGCGGGAGCCCCAAAGTGGAGTTGCATTTGCTGCCTTCAGGACACAGGAAAAATGCCCATGTGGCCAGAGTGCAGACAAAGGGGGCAGCAGATGAGCAGGTGCCAGCCAGAGCGGCACCGGAAGCCACGGTACTGTCTCCACTCCTTTCTCACGGCAATCTATCCCACGGAAAGCCGCACCTGTGCCCGGAGAACCTTAGGTGTGAATGTCTGTTCATGCAACAACCTACTTGAGCATCTACCTCACGCCAGGTTTTCTTTGAGGTGCTAGAATAAATTAGTGGGGGCGAGGATGAGAAAGAAGGAAACCACAAACAGAAGGCTTCTGTGATCACCCAGACCGGAGATGGCGGTGGTTTATGTAGTCCAGGTGGTGATAAACAGTGACACACGCTCTTATTTAGGAAATATTTTACGGTACAGTTTTCAGGATACTGAATTTTTTTAGGATTGACTGTATACACATAGACACAGACAGACAGACACATGGACACACATACACACCCTCCCTCCCTCTTAGGGAAATCAGCTACAGTCAGAAGAGTAAGACAGACTTTATGATTCAATCAAGGCAGGAACAGATGAGGAAGCCAACTCTCATCATTCCCAAAATAAAGACCCAGCACATTACCAGCACTCAATGACTGGCACCTACTGAGGCGGTTCATTCATCCAAACGAATCTGCGCCCTGACTCTGTGCCTGGTCCTGCACTGAGAGGTGGAGACTCGGGGAAATCCGTACCCTCCAGAAATTCCCAGGTGAGGAAAACGACTTTTCTTTACATAAAAGTACTGGGAGACGCACACACAGGGCAGTGAGCAATAGCTGTTTGAAGTGCGCTCGCTCACTCAGCTTTCCTGACCCTTCTAGCTGTCCCTTCACAATCCCTTTTGCTCATCCCAAGTCATCAACCTCTAAACGTCCAAGTGCTCCGGGCCTGGGTACTTGGACCTCTTCTCTCTCTGCACCCACCACCAGATCTCGTCTAATTGGTCTCAAAGGCTCAAACTCCCGAACGACCAGTTCCAGCCAGAGGTCCTTCCTCACCTGCAGGCTGCCTCCATCTACTGTTATCCAACAAGGATTTCAAGGAAACGTGTTCAAAATCAGACTCCTGGTACCCTACCAGTCCCTCCTGCAGCCCGCCCCTCTCAGCTGATGGCCGCATCTTCCAGTTGCTCAGCCAGAAACGCTGGTGTCACCCACGGTTGCTCCCTCGCTCACAGACGCTATCTGACCCAGTTACGAAGCCCTTGCCTGTCTCAGAAAAACATCGCACGCGCCACCACTTACCAGCCCCACTGCTCCCGTCCTGGTGTCAGCCACCATCATCTCTCTTGCTTGATATACTAGTGAGGGTTCTCCAGATAAAAGAAACAAACAGGATGTCTGTGCGTGGGGGAGGGGGGAGAGACGGACAGGCAGGCAAGGAGCGATGGACTGACTTTAAGGAATTCCTCCGCAGGTGTAGAGGTGCAGGGCAGGCCGCCGCCCGGGACCCAGGGAAGCCAGGGCCCAAGTCTGCAGGGCGTCTGCTGGCAGATCCCTGCTTGCTCGGGGAGGTCTATCTTCATTCCGTTCACGTCTTCAACTGATTACATGAGGCCCACTCACATTATGGAGGTTCATCTACTTCACTCAAAATAAATCTACCAATTTAAATGTTAATTTCATTCAAAAATACCTTCACGGAAACATCCAGAGTAAAATCTGACCAAATGTCTGGACACCATGGTGCCACCAAGTCGACACAAAATTGGTGTCACAGAGGGTATCAGAGACCCCTCCCTGACCTCTCTGTTTCTGTCCCGGGCCCTCTTCAACACATTCAACACGGCAATCATCCCGTCAGAGCCGCAAGTCGCACATGTCACAGCTCTGCTCAGAACCCCACAGTGCCCTTCCGGGGCTCCCTGCTGCCCCAGGTGACGCGACAGAGCTCTCGCTAAGGCTGAAGGCACTGCTCCTGACCTGGCCACACCACCCCTCTGACCTCCACAGTCTCCCTCTCAGTCACTGGACGCCAGCTGTGGATAGGAGGTACAGAATGGACAGACACTTTTCTCATCAACGGGAAAATCACCCAATAAACTAAATCTGTTGGAGGCAAAGAGGTTTTTTAAACAACACAGACTTCAGACTGAATAGAAACCAGGGATCCCTGGGGGTAACGTGAGCACAAACCAGCGTCTGTGTGAGGCCTAAACTCTGCAA